ATTGTTATTTGAATAAACCATACTCCCGCCTCGTTTATCCTTTGTGCAGCCGGCCCACTTGAATTCATTTGCTATTATTATTCTTTTTTATATCGCATTTCAATTGTTTATCTGTGTTTACGTACGTTCTGTTCTGTTTTTTAACCACTTTTGTTATTGCAGTCCGGTGGGATAATACGAAAGTTATTCATTTGTTATGCATATGAAGTGGATCCAAAAATGTGCTGTGGTTTATAGTTTATTGCAGCCATGGTTGCCATGGCAATTCTTTGGGCCGGGAAACAACAAAAGAATACTTTCCCTCAGTTAGAACTCTGAGTGCGGTTTCCGTTTCCAAGCTGCGTGCAAAATTAATAGCGAAGCTTTAAAATTGGAACTCCAAGTCCGAAGAAGCCTGTTCAAGTTGGGGGACAAAATGCAAACAAAATGGAGCCGAGACGAGGAGAGCTTCCATTTGTCACTTCCAATTAGAGCGAGTCAAAGCGGGCCAGGTGAACTCTGGCCCGGCTGATAATCTCCCGACATCTGCGCCCGGGTCTCCAGACTTCGGTTCCGGGGGTCGGCCAGACTCATTCAATCAATTGAAACACTGACACTGCTTTCTGTGTTTTGAATACAAATTAGCCAAAGTGATGGCCGCCCAGCAACATGCAGCTGCCACGCCTCCAATCAACCAGACACACTCTGAAAAAAGCAGGGATTGGTAGTATACGTATCGAGTGCAGGCTATTAAGTGGCTTTTATTTAAAATTATATAAAAACTGTCGGAAATATATATTTTCTTTAACCAAATTTATAACTACAGGGATCTGTTTCACACATGTTTTGGTAAGGTATGATTTAAATTGCTGTTTGAATATCTTTTAAGGATATTAATCATCAGCAATGTTGGTTTGCCTCACCCAAAGGAGACCAGTGTATTAGTGTTATGCCTTTATGAACCTTCTGTTGTTAGAACGCAATTATTGGTCTAGTTTTATTTGCGATATTAAAACAAATGTACTTTGTGTCTTAGGCTAAAGACTTTTTCAGCAAATTAGTAAATTCAAAGAATTTTTAATGAATTCTCTTTATGTAAAAGACAACACACAAGTTCAGGTTTGATTACCATACTCCTCCCAGCATTAATATAAATATTTTCCCTGAGTGCACATCTCAGCTTGCGACACTGCCATCGATGTTTGCCCCAATGAAAACGGGGGTTAATTTAAATGCAAAGTAATTAATTAGACACTTGGCTGGCAAATCAAGTAATCCAATCTGGAGTAAAGGACTCGGAGGAGGGCTAATCAAGAACCGTATCCAGAGCAGGACCCGCAAAGTGACCAGCGGACTGGCTAAATGTGCTCCAACACATCGAGTGCGAGGATGTGCCATATATCAATGTGCTGGTCCGCTGCCGTGTGTGCTTATCCACTCAATGCCCAGACAATGGCAATTTCAATGATTTTGTTTAGCTCAGTGATTCGGAGAATTGAGTTCGGCTGTGAGCTGTCCACATACGTATATATATTCCTACGTATACGTATTATCCATATGCTACGTGCCGCAGGCAAATTGAGAACGCACAAATTCGAATGCCTTTCAATGAATTGCTGCCAATTTGCAATGGTTAATGAAATGCTTTGTGCCGTCTCGATTGCACTGCAAGGGGTGAGTTTCCATGGGGTGGACCTCCGACTGACTAATCCTGAAAGTACTACGGGTGACCACTGACCGATTCCCTGCAGCTCATCTCCGGAGAGAGTGCTGCACTTTTAATCCGCAACGTTCTCCTGTTCGCATCACTTTCCTTGTTTTCTTTGACATTCGAGTTACATTTTGGCCAACTTTCATCGATTTCTGTGGCCCAGCATTTCTGTGGGGAATGCACTGTAAGAAAATGCAGTCTCTGGAAATGGTGTCAACTTAAAGAAGTACATTAGCTTTAAAATACACCTTTACCAAGGCAATAATTTTACCAAAAAGTTATATATATTAAAATGTACTAGTTAGGTAATATACTCACGGTACATAAGACTGATCGGAGAACCACAGGAACTTCCCACCTCTAAAGTAAACCATTTCAATTTCAAGCGAATTCTTTTCGCAAGTGTGCTCCTGGCCATTGCAATTTTGTAATTGAGATTAGCTTTTGGGGAATAATGGAGATCAGATCATTTAATTAACTTTGTTTTCGAGCACGTCTCTGCCACTGGCGGATGTCAAGGGCTGTCTGTGTGGGCGTGGACCTCGTTCGTTTGTAAATGTCTTTGCCCCATGTGGATGGATGTGCCCTATATACCGATATACTTATATACTGATATATACCGATTGAACTAACAAGTTCTAGAACGCAATAACTTTCAGATTGTCCGGGCTTTGCTAGTGGGCCCGGCGAACGCCCTCAGTTGTCTGTTAATTTGACCAGCAACAATTCCATTTGTTAATTCCGGCCCGGCATCTTTTGCTCAATTTGGCAAGCAGATGAAGGAGCAATGGCCATCGGAGGCTCTGCGTCCATGTGTCTCGATTTCATTTCCGAAATTGAATTGCCAAAAATGTGCCATCGGTTTGCGCACTCAGCCTGGGTTTTCAGTTGTCAGAGCTCGGCTCCATGCTCCCAGTTCCAATTATAATTATGCCAGTCTCAGTTGGTCTGAAGGACTCCATAGCCATCTCCATCGCCATCTCCATCTCAGTCCCGATGCGTTTTTGGGTCTATGCATTTCATTTACACTGGCTGATCCGAGTGGAATCCGCACTCTTCTGCGCCCTGACTCGGAGTATCTTCGTCATCGTCTGGCTGCTGCTGTTTTATTTTCACTTTTCCTTCTCGCATGGCTTAGAACGAGCCAAATTGCATTCAGCTGTTTGTTTTTATGCGCTGTCACGAGAATTCCAAACTACTTTTGAATAATTTCATTTATTTATGTTCCCCATTGCTTGGCGCAAAAGTTTCGCTGCAGTTGCTCCGATTCTCCACTCCGGCTGTCTTCAGTCAGTCAGTCAGTTAGTCGCTTATTTATTTAGTTTTCTTTCTTCTCCCTAAACTCCTAAAAAAAGGCGCAAAACTTGTCGCTGTGTGTCAAAAGTTCTGCCTTAAGCTTAAGGGTCTTGTCTCATTTTTGCTCCTCCAAATCCGCCGCCAATTGATGCCAGTTTGTGCTTCTCCTGCTGATGATAATGCTTCTTGAGTTCTTTTAATTGGGTTTCCTTTGAAAAATTAGAGTAATGAGTCTTATTTTATGGGTATAGTCTTAATCCAGGATATATATGGCGCATAAATGCAAAAATCAAATATAAATATAATACCCCTTAGGGAAGCTTCCCGCTTAGATACTGGGTAATCCTATTAGATCTGTAAATGCAAATGCCTTCCTGCTGCTGCAAAGTCTCCATTAGCTCTTTGAGCTCTCACTGGCAGACCTTTGGCCAGTGCAGTGTTGGCCTCTGCTTAATGCTTTTGGCAGGTGACAGCCAAACTGCAGCACAGTGAGCTTGGCAGACTTCATGTAATGCAATTACGCATACGCCGCGTGCACCCGACCCGTGTGACTGGCATGTGCGGCTAATTAGGTCCTAAATGCTCCACGCCATTTTGTTGTCAAAACCTGCCTGCCCTGTATAGCTGGGTGGCAAGTACTACGTGTCCAGATTTTTGACAACCAGCCAGTTCGGTGTTCCCAATCGTCACAGCTCATTAATTCACAATGTCATATTACATTACAAAAACGCGTCTATGAACTTTTGTTTGGCCTGCGAAAGGCGGAGAAAGGTGAGAATAATTAAGGGCTTTTAGTAGTGAATGGGTTCTAGTCGCCTTGATTTATTTGACATTAAGAAAGTAGAGGAGGAGTTTTGGGGACATGCACACAAATATATAACTTTCTTCATTTCATGTTATTTATTTTTATACAAGACTGATCTAGTTTTAGTAATGCCATATGTCATGAATAAACTACCCTTCAAAGTCAAATATATTTGCTTGATGTTAGGCTAAACAATTTCATTGGACAAATTATTTATTATGATTGTTCTTTCCGAAATATATTTAATTACTGTTCAACATTTATTGCTCCCCAAAGGTTGAATTTCATTTTGGTGTTGCCCATCAATATTTTTAAAAATGGATAATAATGTATAACTAATCATAACACTTTAAAATACTAATTCTGTTTTAAAAATTGCCCACAAATACTTTCAAGAGACTAGTTAAAGTTAGTTAGAGATTAAACATAAGCCTAGCTTAAAACCTGGTCTAATAAATGATGCTATATGGCAGTGTTCCTTGAACGAATATTCTTATATCTTTTCCAACCTAATAAAAGCTTGAAACTCTCTGGCAATTGTCGATGAATGCAGTTTCTAACCGCCAGCTGGCCAAGTTTTATGCATTTTATAGCCAAGCTTGGGGCGGCCTTTGCAGTGCTGGAGTCATAGTGTTGCCTGCTTGTAGGCTGCTCTTTTGTGGAGCCACCAGGGCTACGTCGTCCTCGAGATCTAGGCGGGTCGGTTCCAGCAAAACTTGTCACTGGAGCAGAAGTTTGTGAATGCATTCTCGGCGCCAACTTCTTGGTGCGAAAAGTTGGCGCAAAATACTTTGCTCGAATATTGTTTTCGCATGCTTTTGTTGCGCTAAGCAGCCCGTAAGAAGTCGCTTTTCCCCGACTTTCCATCCAGACAACGTAAATTGTGCTGTCTTTTTAAGAGTTTTTATTTTGTTAGGACTGGGCTGTGCCTTTTTCGGTTCGCCGTTTTGTTTTATTTGGTTTTATTCGGTTTTCTTCTGGCATTTTCGCCATGTATTGGCATTTCAGCGCTTATTTGTATCGTTTTTGTTCACTTTGTTGTTACTTTTGTTATGGCTTTTCCTTCTTTTGTATTTTGTATTTGTTTTTGTGTGTGGTTGCTGTTTTCAATTTTGTTGCAAGCACAACGCATTTTTGTTTCTCTCCTCTTTTCAGATTGTTGCTGCTGCAGTTTTTTGGCAATTTCCTTAAAACGCAAAAGCTGAAAAGTTGCCTGATGTACGTATAAGCTTTATTTTCCCCCCGTCATTTCAGTGTGAATATATCTATGTGTGATTCTTTTTCCTTTTTTCTTGTTCAGAACAATTCAAACGACTTTGTGGCACTGGCACTGGCACTGGCATTTGGTATGCATTTGAGAACTATGCAAATCTTTCATTAAACTCTCACTTCGATCCCGAAACTGATTGCCAAAGTTCAGCCGCTAGTAGCGCCTCTCGGGCGGACTGAAAACGCTCTGAGGAAGAATTTCTGTGAATGGGGGTCTAATCTCTTTCACGCCGCAGGCAAACTCACTTGGGCTCGCTTCAGTATCGAGTCCTTCGTGGCGTCGTACAAATGCTGCTTCGAGGGAATCTCCAGCACAGTGGGCACGGCCAGATTGTGGGCATCGACAGTGGCTCGAATGGTGTCCGCGTAGACTTGATTGATCAGGATGATGGCTATGTCGGGACGCCTCAAGAACTTCTTGAAGCACTCCTCAATCTGGGCGGGAGTGGTGTCTGCGGAGAGGGTTCATCAAAATAAGTGTTTGATAAAAGACCTAGAGTTACCCTTTTCAACGACCATAAAATTGGTCTCGTGATCCTCGTCGACTTCACCAATACCACCGAGCAGAAAACCAACACAAGTGTCCTGCAACGAAAGATGAAGATGTTAAAAGATATTTAGTTTGTTAATAACGGAAGATAAAGGTCGAACCTCATCGCCAATAACGGCCAAAAGACTTCCCCTTTCCTCGGAATTCAACGACATATTTTGTTCATAATTTCTGCACCTCAAAAGTGACACAAAAGCAAACTCTCGGGCAAATTGATGTTATATGCTTATTAGTTAAAAAATAAGAAAATACAATGGATTTGCAATAAGTTGATTACCGTACTAAATAAAAATACATAAATCGCATTTATTTCTGCTATTCAGATGTCGTATGAATAAAATACATGTGCATCTGCCGCCGATGACAAAACAATTGTTTGAGTGAAATGGATGTGGAAAAACGAGAGCAGCAGTTCCTGGGAAAAAAGGGGAAAAACTGCACTTGACAGCCACGCCGCATTTGATGGCAAAACGCTGGCTGCACTCCGCTGTTTGTAGTTTTGTCAAGCGTAAAACAAGTTTTATAATTGTTTAAAATGTTTGCTTGCCGCTGTCCATTGCAGAGCCATTTTATAACGTTATAACGAATTTTTGTCAGTTGCTGCTCAAAACTTAATCGAAAACAATGGTCAGCAAGCGGCGAATTGTGTGTCAAATTGCTGCTCAGTGTACCCTTTAACTCCGCCATTTACGTAATGCCGACAGCTCCTAATTGGATTAGATAACTTCCTGAAAGGGCTCAGCCAGCGAAAGATACGCATAAACCTCCGCCCACGAACTTGACGCACAGATCACCTTTGTGCCCATTGTCTCCTCTTGGAGCAAATCGACCAAGATCTCTCCCCCAAATCCCAGCAAGCCAGCCGGTTATGTGCACCAAGTTGCCGTTACGTGTGTACTTGGTTGCATGGCAACTACATAAGGCAATGGCAATCCCTAAACCTAAATGCGGCTAATTGCCGAGCATGACTTTCGACAGAGCTCGACCAGCTGCCACTTGAACCCAACACTACACCGCACTCTACTCAACTCAACTCCAGTTAATATTTTTCAAATCAGCTCTAATTGTTTACAGTTTACAGTTTACATATCAATAGCCATTGTTGTTGTTGCCGGCGTGTGGCATAACTAATTATGATTAATGCTTCAAAGCCAGCCCCTGACATTTGCCATTAATTGACAGTTGGAGCAACAGCTCCGACAGATGCACAGCGAGAAATACAAGTTTTCTTTTTTGCAATTTTCGGTCGATTGGTTTGATTAATAACCTGAAAAGGCACTCTGGCAACCAGCGGTTAAGCTTTCAATATAACTATTTATACCAAATGATAGTTCATTAAAAATATATGCTCAAAAATAAAGATAAAAGTTTAGAGAGAGACATCTTAATAAACAGTTTCGTATACAGTAAACAGTTTTCAAATTAAATAGCTGAATTATAAACCACCTTATTTTATAATATTTTACGATCTTTATTAAGTGCTCAGGATTTTATAACTAATAGACTAAACGAGTTCTTCTTGCTGAACTCAAATGTTTGTTGAATAAACGGGTTGTTTTGTGTATTAAAATGGCTTAGCTTAGTTCTAGCCTAATATTAAAACGGTATTAAAATTAGTATTAAAGCTTAAAATAACTTATTTTTAAAGTGAAACCTGAAAATGTACTCAAACTGATTTATGATTTTATAGAACCAAAATTTCATCCACTTATGATAAGCTTCTACTCGATAAGCATTTAATTTAATATTAAAAAGTCACTTTGAAGCTTAACAAATAATGTATAAAGCCATAGTCATTGATAAGTTTTTAACAGATTTCCTTTTGATTTGATATTTTTGGAATTTGTTTAATAATTTTCATTACTCCAATAGAAACAGAAATCTTTTTCTGTGCAGTCGTACTCACCCCGAGGTGCGTTGAACTTTCGGCTGAGTGGAAAAACTGTCATTGCACACACAGACCGACAATGAAATTGCAGCCATGCTCTCCACCGCAATCCCATGTGAACTGGAACCGAAAACTCAAAGCTCGGAGCCAAAACGCAATCGGAATCCCATCCCATACCATTCCAGCCAAGCCAAGCCAAGTCATCGATGCTTTGGCCCGCTGACCTTTTTCCACACATTGCAATTGCTAATGGCGCTGCCATCGAAATCCAGAGAGCTGGCCAGCCCCAAACTCACAACCGGCAATCCATGCTACCGGTTTTAGTTTATTGACTACTGGCAACATCAGACGCAGCAGCAACAACAGTTGCAGCTACGCCAGCAACATCATCAGCAACAGCAATGGCAACAGCAAAAGCAACAACGGGATCGGCAACAATGTGTCAAATGACTTTTGCTGGCCCGGCTTCTTAAATATGGTCATGGCGGCATTTAGTAGTCTGCGGCTAGAAATTTTCACTTATGCCTGGCACGTTTTACCTATTTTCCCGATTTGGATAGCTGGAAATATTAATTTTAAGTGCGAGGTTCTGGACTGACCTTTTTCTGATAAGTGTCCATTTTCTCTTTTTGCCTAGATTGTGTGACTTGCATGAGCGAAGGTTTTTTTCCAGAAGCAGATCTCCAAAAAGTTCTAGGGGAAGTAGGCATAGGAAGTGATTCATTTGTGATATTTGTTATTTCAAAAGTTATCTTATCTTTCATGACAATACATTCAATACAAATCTAATTTCAAAATTTTATTAGCAAATGTCACATAAAGACAAGAAATACCAAGAAGAGTTACCTGTTGTCTAAAATTATATCTCATTTCAGTACAAAAACCAAACATCTTCCCTAAGGAATGCCACACTTGAAATTCTAAATACCAGTTTCAAGAATTTTTCGTGAATCTGTGGAACTGACAGCTCACTCATTCATGCATTCAGAAATCATTCGTTCAGCAGCTGTCAGTGGGATCGTCGGTTCCTGGGATTTTGCAATATCAGATGGGCTTGTACGAGTATGAATCCCCAGCATATTCTTACTCCTCCGTTGCTGGCTCTCACGACTCATTCAAGATGGTGCCTTTTGGCCGGGTTTCACCTGCTCGTTACAGCCTTTCGCCCTTCCATTTTGACTGGGCCTGAACTTTTGGAAGACATTTGGAAGCACGGCTAAGTGCAAGCACGCCTCTTATTTATTTAGTGCTTAAAATACCATAACATTTGCGGGATTATATAATCGAACCTGTCGCCGCCGCTGCTCTGCATGCACATCACGCAAATCAAGTCAAACCGAAAAATCGAAAAGTCGAAAAAAATTCGCAATACGCTTTCTTCTGAGCTGAAATGAATCGAAACGAACCGAAATGAAATGAACCTTTCAGAGCGCGTATCGCGCTGCTGCTGCTGCTGCTGTTTGTGATGTGATGTTTTCTGCTGCTGCTGCTACTGCCGTTGATTATTCAACAATTTTTATTGAAAGGTAAACAGGCGCTCACAAGAGCAAGAGCTGTAATCACAAGAAAGCCATGTGCGAAATGTCAAATGCAGGCGAACCGAGCGGAGGTACATGACATCGACATTAACGTCACGGCGCCAACATCGGCCGATATATCTCCCTGCCATTCACTTGCCTTCGCAGCTCGAAAAACAAACTACAGTACTTACTACACAAATGTGCACTCTCTCCGCCTCTCTCCGACTGCCAATCAGTTGGGCTGGAAAATAAAATTAGCATAATGACAATATAATAAACAAAGGCGAAGGCTGCGTCAGCTCTGCAAACCGCAAATGATCGCTAGCCAGCCCGGCCAGAATGCAGAATGCAGAATGACAGAATGACAGAATGCAGAATTACAGAAGGGAAGGATGGGAGGATGCCGGCAGGAAGCGCGGCATTCGGCATCCCACCCCACACGTAATTGGCAAAGGTTCTCCTCCCATTACCACCAACCGCATGCCAGAGTGCCTGCACGGAGCCAAAGGGCTTAAAACAAATCATAATTTTAAAGATATATTTGCAAATCTGAAAACATTCAAATATAAGTCTTGCGAATTTCGGTAAACTATTATTTTAACTGAAAGAAATGAAATAGAAAACCTCTTGGCAGAAAGTCTTGACTGGCATGTTTCACTTACAAACCAAACTTAATAGCATTCATATTTTGGCGCAGTGTACTTGCCGATTGCGCGGGTGTTAACTGTTAATGTGCAGTTGGTTATTATGCAGGGCCGAAGCCAAAAATCGTGTCAATGCATTGAACGCAGCTCTTTGGGTTGATAACCTCTGCTGAATGAATTGAGCGTCAGAGCCGCAGCTCCTCCCCTCTCAACTAAACCGTCGTATTTGTCGATTCCATTGACGAACTGGGTCACCATGTGGCCGCCGAGTTGGCTGGCTGGCGGCATTTTGGCCTTATTGGGCAAACCGGAGAGCGGGTGTTGGCAGTCAACGGCCAACAGGCAACAGCTAACAGCTAAAAGCCAGCGAAACCGTTAATAGAAATGCATTAAAATAAAAGCGTTTTGGCGTTTGTTCCAATTCTGAGAGCATGCCGCACATTAGTCCCCAGTAATGGCCGCCTGCAAATCACGCCACGAATCACAATTTATCAAGAAAACGTCACGTAATTACCAGTCGACGCCAACTACGTACAAGATACATTGACAGTTGTCGGATACACACGGCGCAGACTTCTTTCCGAATTCCCAGCAGCTGTCTGCCTCCGCCGGCAGATGCGTTTGATTTGTGTGCTCCATCCCGCCTCCCAGAACCGAAAACTGAAAGCTGAAAGCTGAAAACCCAAAGACGAACGACGATAGACGAAAGCCCAATCCCAGAGCCCTGAGCCAAAAGCCAATGCCTCGTCTTCAACAGATTTCGTGGCTTCATTGTGTTTTGTGTCTTATTTTGTATTCCAATCACAAAAGGCGTTGTCAAAGCGGCGACAACAGCGACGCCAAGAGTTGTTGCCAGTCCTCGGAGCGAAAACAGTTTCTGACACACAGTGTGTAGGAGCCCCAGAAGCCAAGAACCGATCGACACGTCACTCTCCTCGATTCACAAATGGGCACGGGGAGATTGGGAAGCCTGAGTGGAAGTTCAAGAATGGAATAGCAGCTGCTCCTCCATCTGCGGATGGGAGTGCTGGCATTAGAAATTACTCAGACCTGTAGCTACACCAAAAACATTGAGCCTACCATCCTAAACAATTGGCAAGATAATAATTATTACTATTATTATTGAGTATAAAAGCAATGATCTTGAA